AAAAAAAAAAGTATTTAAAACCATATTGTCTCCATCATTCTAGAGTCACAGCAAAATCATAAGAAATATTTTGAACATTATCTTTAAAGTTCAGTAGTTTGAAATTTTGAAAGTTGTTTATTAACTGTCAAGAACTATGGAGTACGAGCAAAAATTTTTTGATATGTAAAGTAAATGTGGAAAAATGTAAAAATAAATAAATAATGAAACAAAGAAAAAATGTTAAATGATCATAGTCATTGAAATAGTAAATATTCCAACACAATGATGTTTAGAGGACTCTGTAAGTCAGGTCATTGCATTGTACTCTGAAGAGAACTGTGTAGTATGTAAATTATATCTCAATAAAGCTACCTTCAAAAATTAAAAAAAAAAAAAAAAGATGTGCTGGAATCATTCCCAGTGTCTAAGGATGTGACCTCATTCAGAGATAGGGTTCCACGGAAGTAATCAAGTTAGAATTGAGGGCATTGGAAGGAGGGAGACATAATCCAATACGATGTATCCTTGTACAAAGGGGAGATCTGGACTAAGAGACAGACACACACAGAGGGAAGATGATGTAAAGAGACACAGGGAAAAGAGGGCCACCTACGACCTAGAGAATCCTAGATCTTTCCCTCACAAATCTCAGAAAGTACCAACCCTGGGAACAGAGAGTGGAACAGCAGCATATGTGTAGTTGGTCCACACGGGAAGGTCCTAGTTTTGTGTCCTGAGGCCTCTGTATGCACACAGGGGGCACACACATGTGCCTGTGATTGGGGCTGGCTGAGGTGGGGGTGGGTGGCTGCATGAAGACCACGTTGAGGGCGGCTCTCTCCCTCTGTCTCTCTTTCTCTCTCTGCTTCATGAAAATAAATAAATAAATAAGCTTCTGAAAAGTAATTCATTGACTAAATCAAACAGAATCCTAAAAGAAGGAAGAGCAGGAGGAAATGGGGATAAGGGAGGAAGAGAAACCGACCCTGCTAACACCTAGATTTCAGACTTCTGGCCTCCAGGTCCGTGACATTAAATTTCTGCTGTTCAACTCACCCAGTGTACAGCACTTGGTTCTGGCAGCCCCGGCTAACTAATACAGACTTCATCTATTAACTCCTCAACGACAAGTAAGGAAATTGAGGTTCAAGGAATTTAGCCTTAATGTACCAATTAAGGTGGATAGAGTTAGCATCAGAACACAGGCCTCATAATTCAATGCTCATTTTTATAATTTTACTCTAATTCTTATCCACACGCTTTCATGAAAATTTTAAATGCACATTTTTGTTCCAAGAAGATGTTAAAAGTATGATAATAAATCTGAAAAGTAAATACATTTTATGAAAGAAAATGATGAAGCCCAGACACCCGTATTTATAACAGATACCATGATATGAAAATCAAATCTTTTAGTTAAACATTCTCATTTAAAACCAATTTACATAAACAATGAGGAGTCATTTCACAATGAAACAGCTCAGTGAAAGAGGATAAGCTGGAAGGTATGCAGAACACGTCTGACTCCATGCTGGCCTGGTGAGTTTTTCCACCTTACTCTAGGGGAAAAAGAAGAAAAGTATTTCTCACTCTAGCCAGGAAAGCAGAGAAGCCTTCTTTTCTCAAAAAAAGAAAAACAAATCTTGATCAACTCAAGAAAAGTTGTTTATTTAATATGAAATCTGGATGTAATTATAAAACTGTAATTTCCCTGCTGTTCTCTTACTAATAAGGATTTTTTCTCCCCCTGCTAAAGCTCCTCAGCTATAGACAACTTCCATAATCTCCTGCTATTCCTGTTTGTCAGTGTCTATTTGTGAATGACCTAAAAATATTGGATTTACCTAGGTGATTTAGAGTGATACGTTTTCCTTACAGTATCACAGGATGCCTAATATCTTTATATTAAAGTTTATATTAAATTTTTTTTAATAATCACATATGGTTCAATCTAAATAAAAGAATTTTCATCTAAAACTTCAAATACTTGATGCCTTAAAAAATACATTTCAGTGCTTGCTTTGGCAGCACATACACTAAAATTGGGACAATATAGAGATTAGTATGGACCCTGTGCAAAGTCGACACATGAATTCATGAAGCGTTACATATTTTAAAATACAAACAAAAAATATTTTAGGGGCCAGACAGTGGTCAGCACTTAAGCGTAATACCCTGTAAAGATGACCCACATGGGAACCTTCTAAGTTCACATCTGGAGACCTCCCTGAGTACACCTGACATATGTCCCTGCCAAAGACTTGTTGAAGTCAGGGTGGACAGTGATGTCAAGACCCAGCTGGGGATGCTCTCTCTCTCCCTCATAGAACAAATAAAATTTTTGAAAAAAATCAAGGGGAAAAAGAAAGAAGCAAAATATTTAAGGAGCACACAAATAGAAAATTATCTGTTGATGATGATGTGTATGATAATATCTTTAACTAGATTAATATACAGTGTATTTATGCTGGAAAAATTAAATTTATAAGCTGTGATTGAATTTATAAATAAAGGAAAAGACTATACTTCTTCAATCAAACAAATGTTTATTATATACATATGCATTTTTAAAAATACTATGATAAGATATTATCATATACAAGCATTTGCTATATTATATGAAGCTTGTTTTGCATGGGATAAAGTTTTATTTTACTCTTTAAAAAAAAAAAGCTAGGATCAGCAGATGGCATAAAGGTTATGTCATTGGACTCCCACATAGTCGACTCATGATTCAAGACCTGGATCCAGAAACTTAAAATTCACACCAGGCACATGTGTGTGTGTGCCCAAAATCCCAAGAGGAGAATGAAGGAGAAGATATTGTGGCATGGTCAACCCCCCTGGGGTGGAGGTGATTTCTTGCTTTTTATCTCTCTTCTCTCTGTCACTCCAGCAAGTCCACATGCCTGATAGCAAAAATTGCTCTAAAAAAGGGGAAAGGAAAGAAAAGAAGAGAGAAGAGAAGAAAAGCCAGCTCCGTTATATTTTAAGCTAGGAAAGAGTAACTTTGGATTTTGAAAGATTACATTAGAAGTCATGAAAACAACATACTGAAAATATTTGTTGTTATACAAAATAAGTAGATAAGGAGTGGCTTCCCAAAGAAGATGGAATTTAAGCTACTTCGAGAGGGGTAAGTAGATTTTTATTGTGGAACAGTAAATTGAAAAAAGAAAAAGAAATTACTACTGGCTCTAGGAATCAGACTGTGCAGAATACATAAACTGGAAAAGTGAAAGATGATCATTTAGGAAAATCCAGACCTGTGGCTAGAAAGGTAGACAGAAACCAGGTTCTGGAGCCCATTCACTGTCTCTTGAACAACTGAGGTTTTCTTCTACAGATGGCTTTCATCAGGAGATACCTATGACTCGCATTTTTAAAACTCTCTCCTGGTTTCATTAAGGCAGATGTATTGGAGTTCATCTGAAAGTTGAATCCTGAACATTTTTATTTCTATTCTCTTAAAAATAAAAATTCATTGCGAACCCCAAACTTCAAGTCTGATTTCTCTTTTCCATCCACCTTTTTAATGGGTCCTTAATGTAGTTTACCTGAAGAATAATCAATCAATACAACAGCTTTATATCCAACCATTTTATATGTGCCCAAAATCCCAAGAGGAGAATGAAGGAGAAGATATTGTGGCATGGTCAACCCCCCTGGGGTGGAGGTGATTTCTTGCTTTTTATCTCTCTTCTCTCTGTCACTCCAGCAAGTCCACATGCCTGATAGCAAAAATTGCTCTAAAAAAGGGGAAAGGAAAGAAAAGAAGAGAGAAGAGAAGAAAAGCCAGCTCCGTTATATTTTAAGCTAGGAAAGAGTAACTTTGGATTTTGAAAGATTACATTAGAAGTCATGAAAACAACATACTGAAAATATTTGTTGTTATACAAAATAAGTAGATAAGGAGTGGCTTCCCAAAGAAGATGGAATTTAAGCTACTTCGAGAGGGGTAAGTAGATTTTTATTGTGGAACAGTAAATTGAAAAAAGAAAAAGAAATTACTACTGGCTCTAGGAATCAGACTGTGCAGAATACATAAACTGGAAAAGTGAAAGATGATCATTTAGGAAAATCCAGACCTGTGGCTAGAAAGGTAGACAGAAACCAGGTTCTGGAGCCCATTCACTGTCTCTTGAACAACTGAGGTTTTCTTCTACAGATGGCTTTCATCAGGAGATACCTATGACTCGCATTTTTAAAACTCTCTCCTGGTTTCATTAAGGCAGATGTATTGGAGTTCATCTGAAAGTTGAATCCTGAACATTTTTATTTCTATTCTCTTAAAAATAAAAATTCATTGCGAACCCCAAACTTCAAGTCTGATTTCTCTTTTCCATCCACCTTTTTAATGGGTCCTTAATGTAGTTTACCTGAAGAATAATCAATCAATACAACAGCTTTATATCCAACCATTTTATAAGTGCTATTTGAGCCTTCATGGACAACTGCTATACATGAAGAAAAACGATTAGTTTTAAATTCCAAGTCTGAACCACATGACATATCAACAATACAGAAACAGGCACTTTTGTCTGACGTAAATGGATGATACATCTTCTCTCCCCTACAGCTGCCTAATTCAGCTTCTTTCATTTTTTCCTATATAGATTTAGTTTTTCCTGACTGAATGATCTTTGTCAATGGGTAATTTAGATTTCTCAGCAGATGTCATGCAGCCTAGCATGAAAACGTCTTAGGTGAAAGTTGAATTTGTGGCACAGCATATAAAAATCAATGTCTCCATTATAATCTAAAATGATAAAGAAATGACTTCCTTACTTTTGAGTACATAACAGCATATAATTCCCAATGGTTAGTCATGAATATTATTCATTTTGAGTTGTTTATAAAGGAACCCTTTTAATCACACTTATCAGTTGAAGAATATGTTATTTCTCTTCAAACCTGTAAGTCTCCACATTTTGGCAACATGCCTTTTCCACAACAGCACAGCATAGGAAGCCATGGCTAGGTGAGCTGCAAGCAAAAATCTAAATGAAGCACCTCACCCCCTTTCCATTGCTCTATGTACATTAACATGAAATGATGGTTACAACTTAGATGGTTGGCCACCCACCTCTTTAGTTGTCCTTTAACGTGCAGACTAAAACCTGAATCTCCTTAGTGTGGTATGCAAAATCCTTCACAGTAGCATCTCATCATTACAGATTTATCTACCACTTCTTCCCACCATGCAAAATGAAATCTCAATGCTTCTTAAATAAGTCAGATTACTGAACAAGGTGGCCGTTTGTGAAATCTCAATGCTTCATAAGTCAGATTACTGAACAAGGTGGCCGTTTAATCTGGAATGTCATTGCCCACTCTGTTTTCTTTTAACCAGGGAACTCATATATATATATATATCAATTGAGATATAACATTCATATCAACATCTCTGTGAGGATTTTCCTAAATTTCTGAACACAGAGTTAATGAATCCCTCCTCTCTATTTCCACAGAATATTTTCAACTTCTATTTTAATTTATTACATTGAAAATTATTTACTTAAAAATTTGACTTCTCATATGGAACATAAGGTAGTGGTTATATTGGAAGATACTGTGGGAAAAAGTCATTTTTATCTATGTGTTCGTTTGAAAATGTGTTGGCATACAGTAAGTACAATAGCTCGTTATGGGTATTGACTTGGCTGGGCTGGAAAATATCTAGAAGTTTGAAATAGCATTACTCTGGGTGTGTCAGTGGGAGTGTTTCCAGAAGAGATTGACATTGGAGTCTGAGTAGACTAGACATGGAGATCTGTCCTCAGTGGGGGCAAGCACAATTCAATCAACAAAGGGCCCAGAGAATAAATGCAGAGATGAATGGATCTCTTTGGAGAGGGAGCAAGATAGACTTTTTTCATGGCCTCTGATATCAAAACCCAAAGCTCATCTGTCTTTGAAATCTAGGGTATATAGCAGCGCTCTGCTTCCTACCCATGGATTCTGAATCTTTCTTCCTCTAACTCTCAGTTACACCGCACCATCAGCTTTTCTGCTTCTGAGGCCTTGGGACTTGAACCTAACCAAGCTTCCAGAATCCCAGGATCTCCGGCTTGTAAATGGCTTGTTGTGGGACTTCTCTGCCACTCTTTCATGAGCTAACTTCCCCAATAAAACCCCTTTCATAGTATCCTACTGGCTTTGTCTACCTAGAGAGCCTTGATACAGTAATTTATATATTATCATTTGATTAGGTAACATGTGAATGGTATGTAGGACATATAAATATTTATTTGATCGGCATGATGGAAAAACTTTAAGAAATTTAAAACCCAGAGAAATTGTAAGAGAAAGAAAATGTGTTAAACATACAATGCATAGTTTATAATAGAATAAAAATCATGAAGTTATATTAAAGTAAAGGCTAAACACTCACTGAGCACATTTATAAAGTCATGACAAAAAATGGGAATTTGAAAGATAAAGACATATTATCTCTCAATTCACGAAATGCACTATTAAAGATGCACAGATGGTATTAAAGTAGATTTTTTTTCGCTTTGACCTAGTACCCATGGTATCCAGTGTAAAAAGATAGTTCTTGAAAATGACATGCACAGACAATTTAAAACCTGTATTCACTCTCATCAGTCTTCTCAACATTTAACATTTCACACCACTTTTTCCTAAACTGTTTAGAAGCTACCATTAGCAAAAATTGCTACTTTGAATTTAATTTCTTTCTGCCTTTACTAGTCCTGCAAAATGGATGTGGTCATGTAAAATGGATAGGAGGAAGGTAGGCTAAGGAAGTAACTGGAAAGACCATAATTGTCCATGAACTAAGTAAATAGCTAATACTTGAGCTACACAGGTAGAGTAACTCAATACATATGGCAAAACGTATAATAACATTAATCATGAAATAATACGTTGGGTAATTTCAAGACTTTTATTTCCCCAGATCCAGATATGTCAACTCAAGAGGTACAAAGCCTCAGAGGAGGACTCTTGAGTAAGAACATGGATAATTAAGTGGGTTTCCAATGTTTTGTCCAACCAGTTTTATTTTTACTAATGAGAGAGCTCAGTTCTACCTTCAGAAGCAGAATTGCATAAGCAGAGAAATTGTCGGGGAAAACACAAGAATCACAGGGG